GTAGGGTTAGGTAAAAGTATCAGGCTTTTCTGCCCTCCCGCCATTAGGATAGATGAGGAACCTGTGGTCCTGAATGCATGCCTGATGGCGGGCACCTGAAGTGGGTACACCTGGGCTGAGAGACTGAGTTTATAAGGGCAGCATCACGGGATGCCAGCAGAAGCCAAGAATGAACAGAAACCGAGAGAAGAAGAGAAGCAGAGAGAACGCCGGAGAGAGCCCAGAGAGAGTGAAGATTTGCTGGGGGCTGGGAGGACTGGCAGCCTCCCGCCCCCCAGCACCCCTGCCTTCCATATGCCTGGTAAATCTAAATAAAAGACCTGCAAAAGCCCCTGAGGCTCCAAGACTCCTCCTTTACCCGGTCTGCATGGGATCATAGAAAACCTGCTCAATGGTCCTTTCTGCCCTACACCTGGAATGTGCTTGGAACACAAATGCTAACTTCCTCCTTCTCTCACACTTTTAAAGTTATACCATGAGAGGGAGATCAATGTCGTTGAAGGAAGGCCAGGGTCACCGTGGGGGTGGGGGTGGGGAATGTGTGAAGGCATTCACCAGTGTAAGGGGCAGGAACTGGACACAGTGCAGGTTTTCTGATCCATGCAGACCGGGTAAAGGAGGAGTCAGAGTCCTCAGTAGTTTTGCAGGTTTTTTATTTGGGGTTCACCAGGCATATGGCAGGCAGGGTGCTGGCTGGGGGGCTGGGAGGCTGGCAGGCCTCCCAGCCCCCAGCAAGTCCTCACTCTATCTGGGCTCTCTAGCGTTCGTTCTGCTGCTTCTCGGCTTCGGCTTCGGCTGCGGCTGCGGCTGCTGCTGCTGCTGGTGCTGGTGCTGCTGCTGCTTGCGTCCCCCCGTGATGCCGCCCTTAAAAGCACAGTCTTAGCTCAGCTGAATCCCATCTACCTATGCCCACACCCTATTCCAGATGCCCACCATCAGGCATGCATTCAGGACAAGGATCCATCATCTATCCTGATGGCGGAAGGGCAGAAAAGCCTGATATTTTCTTTACCCTACAGTCCACCCCTCAGGGTTTCTGCCATACAGTCTATACATATATACACAATTTTCTAAGCAAACAAACAATGCAGCCATGGCCCACAAAAGCAAATACATCAAATAACAAAATAAACATAACAAAATACAACAGAAACAAAATAAGTCCAGGCAGGGCACCAACAAGTGCAAAAGACAATTATTGGTACCAGCAGATGAGCCACCAAATCTGCTGCCGAAGGCACTGCTCATACGAGGGAGGGGAAATCACACACGGCATCTGCTATAACACACCAGAGCCGTCAGGCTTCCTGGCCTTCTCTGGCTGTAGTCTCTGCTACAAGGCACACACAGCATCCACCCCCAGGATGCACTAGCTCTGGGATTGGCAATTTTATTCTGTTGGGGGTAATCGCCACCCTCAGGGTTTCTGTCTGCAGTCGCTCCAACACTCGGCCTTCATGGCCACCCATGCGACTCACAGACCCCTGCTCTCAAGCCAACCCACTGCACAAGCACATGGGTTGGGGATCCAAACTTTGCATTTTGGCTTGGGCTCCACCCCAAGCCACATTCCCACCCGTCCCCCAAGGACGGGCTCCTCAGCTCTCACCCTCACTCAAGAATGAGCAGGCATCACCCACAGGTGATTTTACGAGACTCACAGGGCTTCAGCATACCCAGGCTGCTTAACAGCCGCTTTAGGGCTTCTCAACTTAGCATCAGTACCAGCTTTTGCCACCTTAGTTGGCTTTTCTCCTCCACCTGGCCACTGGCATACACAGGCTGCTTTTGGCCATCTAGGCCCACTGGCCACCCCCAGATTCTCAAAAAATAAACATAACCTGCTAAGGTCCTCCGCCTTCTGGCGGGATTGTCAGTCAAAATCATCAGTTCATCAGTCTATCAGTCCATTGCCTCTCCCTGCTTCAGCAATGGCCTGCTGCCTCAGGGGTCATTGGCTGGTCCTTTCCGGTGTCGTTGGCTGGTCCTATCCGGTGTCGTTGGCTGGTCCTTTCTGGTGTCGTTGGCTGGTCCTTTCGGGCGTCTCCTTCACGCCAGGTCTCATCCTGTAGCTCGTGGACGTATCCATCTTCTATACCGCCATGGGCCTCCAGCGTCGTCACAGGCAAAGTCTGTTCTCCTTAGTCCCTCCAGGTCTTCGGAGGGCTCCAATACCCGTCTGCATGGATCTTGCCGACATACGCCAATTGTAAGGGGCAGGAACTGGACACAGTGCAGGTTTTCTGATCCCATGCAGAACCGGGTAAAGGAGGAGTCAGAGTCCTCATAGTTTTGCAGGTTTTTTATTGGGGTTCACCAGGCATATGGCAGGCAGGGGTGCTGGCTGGGGGCTGGGAGGCTGGCAGGCCTCCCAGCCCCCAGCAAGTCCTCACTCTATCTGGGCTCTCTAGCGTTCGTTCTGCTGCTTCTCGGCTTCGGCTTCGGCTGCGGCTGCGGCTGCTGCTGCTGCTGTGGTGCTGGTGCTGCTGCTGCTTGCGTCCCCCGTGATGCGCCCTTAAAAGCACAGTCTTTAGCTCAGCTGAATCCCATCTACCTATGCCCACACCCTATTCCAGATGCCCACCATCAGGCATGCATTCAGGACAAGGATCCATCATCTATCCTGTGGGCGGAAGGGCAGAAAAGCCTGATATTTTGTTTACCTACACCAGTCAGCATGGAAGCAGAAAAGGCAGATTTATTGAATTACTGTGGAGAGACAGAGGCGAGAGGAGAAAGCATTAGTCTGGACACTGAAAGAAAAGTTTGGCTTTCTTATTTAAGACACAGGTCTGTGGCAGTTGTTATCTTCTAAATTGTCAAGGCCACAAGTAGTTTCTGCCTTCCTTTGAAATTTGCACCAGTCTTTAATGGCTACAGGTGGGCTTTATGGTTATTGTTTCAATAACAGTACTATAGGGTAAGGAAAAAATGTCAGGCTTTTCTGCCCACCCGCCATCAGGATAGATGATGGAACCTTGCAGTCCTGAATGCATGCCTGATGGCGGGCACCTGGAGTAGGGTGTGGGCATAGGTAGATGGGATTCACCTGGGCTGAGACTGGGCTTTTAAGGGCGGCGTCACGGGGACACCAGCAGAAGCCAAGAAGCAGCAGAACGAACAGAAGAGCAGAGAAGCAGAGAGAACGCCAGAGAGCCCAGATAGAGTGAGGATTTGCTGGGGGCTGGAAGGACTGCCAGCCTGCCTGCCATATGCCTGGTAAACCCCAATAAAAAGCCTGCAAAAAGCCACCGAGGACTCTGACTCGTCCTTTACCCTGTCCGCTGGATCAGAAAACCTGCACTGTGTCCATTCCTGGCCCTACAAGTACCATATCTGCCCATGGTTCCCATATCTGCCCAAGGTCGCAGGACCAGGTTTCCATGACAACTCTTAGCTCCCCTAGTCTGTTTAAAACTTCCTATCCTTGGCAACTCTCCTGCCCGCCTGTAACTAAGCAGGTGCCTCTTCTTTTTTTTCTCCTTTTCCTAATAAACCTGTCCTTTTAAAACACAAAACAAACAAATAACTAAAAATAAAACTTCCCATCCTTGTCTGCTAGGTAAGAGACTGAGCTTTTAACCCTATAGACTCCAACAAGTTCCACTGACTGAACTGGCTGGCTCCACCTTCACAAAAAAGTAGATGAATCTTCCACTGCATAATCAAAGGCAATTAATTTGTGACAATTATCTAATAACATCCATCCCGTGTTCCAAGACAAGGTAAGTGATTCAAGATTCACCCTGGTCTCCGTCTACTAGTGCTCTGCTCATGAAAGGCAACTGGGCACCCCCTCAAATTCTCCCCAACCTACCCCACGTCTACTGCTGCACTCAAGCAGCCTTCCCCTTCATTCCCAGATAGTTGTCTTGGTGACGTTTCCGTGTATATAAATGCCAGGTGGTGGAAGAATTACAAGGAAAAGAGAACAGTTAGGGGACGCTGGTGGAGGATGGGAGGGCGGTTAGGGAAACCTCTGTCGTAGGTGACAACAGATCTCTGCAAGAAGCGAGGCTATCAGGGAAAAAGCAGTTCAGAAGGAGGTGCTGGCCATCCCAATTTTTTTTTAATTTACTTTTTTATTTTATAAATTTTTACATCTTTTTTAAAAAAATTATTTATGCATACAAGAACTGGGGTGCAGGCCAGAGATGCGGGGGGCGAGAGGATTCACCAGAGAACAGACTGAGTGAAACACACTCCTGAGGGGAGCAGCGGGCAAGGCAGGAGAGGTCTGCTTTGGCATGTGGGTTGCTCCCTGGCAGGCTGGGGATCGAACTCGTGCTGGAGAGGCTGTGGTTTGCTTCATCGTGCGGTGCTTAACTTAACCCCTTGCGCCACCAGGGAGGCCCTATTTTTCATCATTTTTCATTTTTGCACAATGTATGCATTTTCGTCTTGGTTATAGTCCCCATACAATTCCCACCCCCTTGTTTTGATCCTACTCCCTCCCCCCCTCCCCGCCCCGTAGTGATTGTTTTACTTGTGCTAGAAGGGAAGAAATCTTCAGCCGTGTCAGGCGTTACTTCAACTTTGGCACCTAGGGCTCACCAACCGGGACCAGCTCAGAACCCGGACCCCAGGGCTGGCTTCTAATGGAGTTTGAAATCACACCAGGCTGTCCTGCGAGTCTTCTCGGAGCACCGACCCTCCGCGTTGGGGAGCCTCAGGTCAGTAAGCGGTGGTCGCGCGTCCACAGGCACCGCCGCCTCCGCGGGCTCCCGGTACCTGGGACGCCGAGCGCCCCGACCGGCCCGAACCCGCGCCTCTGCCCCTCCCGCCTTCCCCAGGCCCGCCTTAGGGCTCCGCCCCTCGCCGCCGATTCCCCGCGTCGCGTCTGGGCACCTCGAGCTCCGTCCCTGACCGGCCCCGCCCCGCCCCGCCCCTCAGAGGCGAGGCCCCGCCCCACGGCCGAGCCGCCGCTCTTCCGCGGGCCGAGACGGAGCGCTCGTCCCCGGCTGGCTGAGCAGGGCGCCCGCCCGCCTCCGGGCCGCGCGACCCGGAAGTGACTCCGAGTTCCGGCCCGCGTGGTTTCGCTCCCTGGAGGCTCCGCAGTCGCGGCAGCTGCGATGACCAAGATAAAGGCCGATCCCGACGGGCCGGAGCCTCCGGCGGAGGCTTGTGGAGGGGAGCGCACTTACCACGAGCTACTGGTGAATCTGAACCCCATCGCGCAGCCCCTGGCTTCTCGCCGCCTCACGCGGAAGCTCTACAAATGCATCAAGAAAGGTGCGGCGGGCGCCGCGGTGGCCGGGTGGGCGCGCGGGTGGCGGGCCAGGGCCCCCCGGCTGAATCTAATGTGGTTGCAGCCGTGAAGCAGAAGCAGATTCGGCGCGGGGTGAAGGAGGTTCAGAAGTTTATCAACAAAGGCGAGAAAGGGTAAGAACCCCACCGCGCCGAATTTTGCATTTCTCAACAGTAGCGAACAGTATCCCTACTGCTAAGTCGGTACAAGTGCTCCGACTCGGGTATATAGAAAATGATCAAGTAATCGATGAATTCCCTCCAGAATAGATGCCGGCCCATGACTTACACGAGCTCAAAGGGACACCACGGGCAAGTGGATTCCAGGGGATGCGAATGTTATAAGCCGGCTCCCTTAAGGGTAGACCCCAGCTGCAGTCACTCAGCGACTGCTTATGGGTGTTTACTCGTTTTCAGGCACTGCGCTGTGGGGAGACAATGACATTGATCAGACAACCACACAGTTACAAGTTGTGATTGATAAGAAGAGTGAAGTGAGGAGCTCATTACCCTCCATCTTTCTTTTCTGAGGTTTATTAGCATCTGAAGTGTATTTGTAACATCCCCTGTATCTTCCATTCACGCCAGACAGAAAACAGTTTGAGAACAGGTTGAAGACTCACTGCTTTCTCTACAGAAATGTGTGGCACACTGTAGGTGCTCAAGAGATAATGCTGGAGGGATTTGATGCTCAGTGAGGAGTCTCACCTAGTTGCCAGTAGCTGAGATCTGAAGATAATCAGGATTAGTTTGGTGGAGTGGGCTAGATGATACTTTCTCATGAGACTCTGTCAGCCATAGTAAGTTTAGTTTTTATACTCAGAGCTTTGAAAGACCATTGAGGGGTAAAGCCAGGGAATGACATAATTAAGATTCTCCTGGCAATTTAAGAAAGGATCAGAGGCACACAAGTGGACTTAGGGATGGTGAGATGGGAGCCTCTGTAGTCTAGAATAGATGCAAAGGCAATTTTGATTAAGTTAACGATGGCAGCAGTGGTGCAAGGGGTTAAGTCTCAGCACTATGAAGCTATCCCCAGCCACTGCAGCATGAGTTCAGCCCCTGGCCAGGAAGCTGACCCACATGGTGCAGCAGACCTCTCCTGACTCACCTGCTGTTCCCCTCAGCCATGTATTTCAGTAGATCCACCTGTTCTGCTCCCCACTCTGTCCCTGGTGACCCCCCACCCCCGCCACATCTCTGGCCTACACCCCAGCTCTTGTGTGCATAAATAAGTCAGATCTTTAAAAAAAATATAGTTGATGCATCTGAGAAGACTTTCGTACATGGAGTGTGAAGAGGTATGGATTCAGCTGAGTAGATTAGAGAGCCCACTCACTGAGTGAACAGTGGATGGGGCCAATTTGTGTAAGAAGATCTAAAGTTTGGTTTCAGGCAAATTTTTGAAGTGCCCCCTCTCCTCAGGAGAACTGCTAATAGGCAGATGGTTATATGGGTTTGGAGCTTGGAAAAGAGAGGGCCACGGCTGGAGAGAATAGATTTGGGAGTAAGGCGAAGCAGTGCTTTGAACCAAAAGCTCTTTCCTTTGTTTGCCTGTCACACACCACAGCCCTCATCCCCACAACAGACTCTTCGTTCTGTGTCTTCAGGGCTCTTGAGGCCCTTGCCTTTGATACCTTGCCAGCCCAGCCAGGACCCCTAAGGAATCTGTCAAGCCTTCATTGGTTCCCTGACCCTTCTGCCACTGAGCCCTGCATCTTAGCCTGACACTCAAGGCCCTTGGGTATGGTCCCTCTCTGGCTTTATTGTCTTCCTCAGGCCCCAGTCTGTATTCCAGAGCCACCCCAGACACCCACCTGGCCAGCCCATGTGTTTGCTACCATTTCTGATTATTCGATTATCTCAGCCTTAATTGCTTTCCTTGCCCCCAGCCCCTCCACAGACGTCACCATTCAATTTTCTGTTCATGTGTCACCTCCTGATTCTCCAAAAATTTGGCATCCGTGCACTGCATCTGTCTCAGCACGATACTACTTGTCACACTTGGTGGCATTTAATTATTGCCAGGAAATAGAAATCACCTTCCCAGAGGAATGTACTCACCAACACAAATTGCACTTTCAGAGGTTGGGAGACCCACATTAATAGTTGGGCTTCTTGATAGCTGGGAGCCATTTTTAACCCCTGCAGGCCCAGCCCAGAGACTTACTTAACTGAAAGGAGGAATGAGCAAACTAGAAATTATAGTGGGTTCTCTCATTTCAGGATCATGGTTTTGGCAGGAGACACATTGCCAGTGGAGGTATACTGCCATCTCCCAGTCATGTGTGAGGACCGCAATTTGCCCTATGTCTATATCCCCTCTAAGACGGTAAGGAGCACAGGAGCCCCTGATCTTGGTCAGCACTGGAGGGGTCTGGGTCCTGGTCTGCAGCAGCAGGCCATGGAGGAATGGGGCATGGGCTTTGGAGTTGAGACAGGCCTGGCCAGACTTCAGGCGCGCTTCGGACCTTTATGCACTTCGGTTTCCTTTTTGTAAACTGGGACTCCATTCCTCTGAGAATGAAAAACACCTATGTGGATATGCTTTTGACACTGTACCTATGTTAGTCCTGTTGGGTGGGTGTGGTGCTCGGGGTGTGGGGGTGTCTTAGGGGCCTAAAGCTGCCCTTTTGTTTTATCTTTATCAGGGGCCAGGCCTGGGGCACAGGGTTTAGGGGCCAGCAGGGAGCAGGAGAGCATAAGCCCTGCCCAAGGGGGCACCCCCACTAGACTGGAGACTTTGCAGAGCTGCCATTTGGGAATGTAGGCCCAGTGTTGCTGGACTGTGGCTTGAAAGTTTGCTACATTTAAATGACAATTAATATTCTGAAATGGAATGACCGGATAGCACACTTGTGGGCTGTATTTAAGCCACTGGATTAACGGTCTGGAACTCCCTGGCATGTAGGTTGTGCAGTGATTTTCCCAAACAGCCCTTTGCTCTTCTCTGCCCTTCTCTGCAGGACCTGGGGGCAGCAGCAGGCTCCAAACGCCCCACCTGCGTGATAATGGTCAAGCCCCATGAGGAGTACCAGGAGGCCTATGACGAGTGCCTGGAGGAAGTGCAGGCTCTGCCCCCACCCATGTGAAGGACTTAGGCAGCAACCTGGGCACATGCTCCGGAAGCTGTTGGGAAACCAGCCTGCTGTCCTGCTGCCCACACTCGCAGCATCTCCCCCGTCCCCAGAGGCACATATTCTTCCCAGGCAGCTATTTCATGAAGGAAAAGCCAGCATCTTCTCCAGGGCTGTTTCCCTTTGAGCTTCAATGAAGACAGTTCCAACAATGTGGTGTGGGGGAAGTAAATGCTAAGACTAAAATGTGGTGAGTCTGTGGGTGTTTTCTTGAGCAGCAGCTGGTGGTAGGGCTGAGGAGATGGTGAGCAATAAGAGGGGAAGCAGCCTTTCTTACCAGGGAACCCCAAGGATTTTACAAGTATTCACTGCTATGCTGGGCTGCCCTGGGCAGGTGTTAGACTCAAGCCAGGAACTGACTCTAGGCTGCCCACCCCCAAGCTTTCGACTCCCACTTCCAGAGTCAGTGGGTGCTGCAGGATAAGGCGGCCAAGCTTAGATTCAGCTGCACAGAAGCCTGTACCCCCTATGTTGGGACACCCCCATTCATCATTTCTTTCCCCAGGAGCCATAAATGCCACTGGGAAGCTACGGAAGCAGTTTACCCACCCACATAGTACATTTTAAATAGGAACATGAAGCTAAGTACAAAACTATAGGCCATCTCTCCTGTGTGGCATCACAGGCCCTGAGAGCCCAATCCTTTCAGGCATTTTACATTTAAGGTGCCTTCCAGCTTTTCAGAACCCTCCCACACCCACCCCTGACTCAGCGCACACAGCCACCAAGCTCAGGCACCATGGAGAAAAAACCTAGATTGGGCTTGAGGGTCAGATCTGGTTTAACCACCAAGCACTCTCTTTTACAAGCCTGATGCTTGGCTATACAATTCATGTTCCTCAACCCTCCATACCAATTTCAAATGAAGAGGTAATGAGCTGTATTTATGAATGTGTAAAAGCACCTTGCACAGGGCCCAACATATTACAGGATTTTCTCCCCATCAGATGCGGGCTGGGTTCTTCCTGACTGGGCACCATGGCTGCTTCTGTTCTAACCAGCAGCAGCAGCCAGGCCATGCCTGGCACCTCTCTGCAGTGGGCACATATGCATGTGAAATTCTTTGCCAGTGAAGCTAAAGGCAGGTTAGTATATTTGCTCCAAGTTATAAAACAGTGGCATTCAATTCTAACCTAGACTATTTACAGTAGGAAACAGATACATACATTGGTGAGGCCATACAGCAGGAGGCGGACATGATGCTGGCATGGCAGTGGGACCTGGCTGAGGCAGGGATGGGAAGACATCTGCTGCTGGTGGCAAGTCCTTGCTTCTATGTTGGTCGATACTTACAGCAAATATAAACGGACACAGCAGGACTAGAGAAGCCAGCTTCTTACAGCCAGGGAGCCAGCTGCCTAGGGCAGGTTGGCTCATATCCTTCCAGCTTCTGGCCATGGTGGCACTCCTCAAGTTTGCCGCTCTGAAATGAACTACAGTCCACTGAAACCAGCCATCCTCACTGAGATGGCCAAGGATCATGGGTGAAAACCCCTCAAAACCAAAGTTCCTTCGAGGCTGGGATCAGAATATGAGGCGTTTGCCATCTGCTGGGTTTTGCTCCATAGGGCAGTAGGGACACTTCAGCCTGCAAAGAGGGGGAATTGGGTCTCAGGGCTGGGCCAGCAGGATGGCCAGGCCAGGATGGAGCCAAGCATGGGTAACTTACTTTCCTCCATTAATGAGCTTGTTGAGTGCATCTCTTGAGATCACATGGCCACAAATGAGCTTGATGGGAGGGTTGGAATCGGATGTCTGCTGGCGGAGGATGGGGCACGCAAAGACCGAGTGGTACCAGCACTTCATGCCGAGTTCTATCTCAATCTGGAGAGGCCGGGAAAAGGGTGAATCCCGTTCCTGTCCCCACCATCGTCCCCACCGTCCTCCCCAGTGCCTTCTGCCCACTCCTGCCCCAGCTGAGACTCACCGGCAGTTCATCCTTGTGACTCCACACCCCCGTGCACTGCCTCTGCTCGATCACTGCTTTGATGTTCATCAGCACAGGCAGCGCCACACAGCCAGAGGCGAAGCTGCAACAGAACAAAGAGCATGGGCTAGAGTGGTCCAGACCAAAAAAAAAACCAGACAAAAGGACCAACATTCTGAGTCTTGTGACTCAGGACTGGGTTCTAAAGTGGCATAGGGTTTAAATCAAACCTTGAAAAAAATTCAGGGTAGCTTATAAAGTGCCACATGTAGTTATGTGTGTCCAACTACATGGCACCCCAAATTTGAGAACCCACAGGAAAGATAAGATCCAGAGGGCAGATACCCGCTTATCTAAACCATTGAAAAGATGGGGACAATGATCAGTTTGAAGCAACCCCAGCCTACCCATGTACACCACTCTGCAGTCATAATATAGCTCTATGTCTGGTTATCAGTTACAGCAATTAGAAATTGGGGGATTCAGACCTCATGATTGGGGTTGGGATGGGGAGTCAACGGGCTAAATAGCTTCAATGTGTAGGTCGGGCCTGTACAAGAGAACTAAGGTGTGATGGTACCTGCCCTGCTGGGAACACCGCTCCACTGAAACGACATCCATGGTAACAAACTAGAGGGTAGAGTCCATCACTCGGATAGGGCAGGAGAGTCTACAATCAGTCTAAATAAACGCACTGTGATGCTACGCACTATGGCTTGTGTGGCTGTGTTGGGTATCCTAGACAAGATCATTCTCATTTATGAAATGAGGATAACACAATGACCCCTCGGGTCACAGTGAAGTCACAGGAGAATACTTCTGGAACAGAGCCTTCCAAGTGAAAATTCTTGAGGCCATTTACTGAGCCCTTCACCCATCTCCTTGCGGGGCAGTGGTACTGGAGGGTCTTGTGATAATCCAGGGGTGAAGTGCAGGGGAGGCAGGGACCTCATTCCAGAGACCTTACAAAATGGGAACTTTGACCCTGTCATTGACCTCATGGTGACCTCAGGCCTCAACTCTTCCTAATCTCAGTTTCTCCAACAGTAAGAAGAGAGGTGATTTTTATTTGGAAAAATGACTTACTACTTGCAGTTTAGGTCTGTGAAGGCACCAAGCACAATCTCTGGCACACAGGCAGGGCCTCAGTGAATTGTGTTTCTCTCTTACCCCTCCCATTTGTGCCCCTCCCCCAGCTGGCTGTACCTGACACTGAGGGGTGACTCCACAGAAAGCCCCAGCAGGGAACAAGCATCCCGGGTAAAGGTCTCACAGATCTCCGCCCAATGGCTATTATCCAGGAGGTGGCAGTAGGGTGACTTCTCCAAGCCCAGCCGGAGGTACACCAGGCTGCCCATCATCACCTGGATCTCTGCAAGACAAGGGGACCAGGCTTAGGGGCCTTGCCCCACACTGTGGCAGCTGCAGGGCAACCAGAGTGGCTCCCAGATCCCTAGGACTGAAATGCCCTCGGGCAAAACTGGTTTTCCAGAGAATCCAATAGGAGGGTAGGCTCTTGGGGCTGCTTGGAACAAGGGTAGGCACCAGGGAGGGAGGAATTTCAGTTCTTTTTATCCTTGAAAGGGCACCCAAGAAGTGAATCTCAGGTAGGCACCCATGTTCTGCAACACGAGCTAATCTCTCTTGTTAAAGTTTTCAGAAGATACACGGCTAAAATTTGGTAATGTTGCTTGGTGTTCATGATGCTTATTTCCAAATGATATGTGAAGAAATGTGAGTGGAATTAAAAAAGTCACTAGCTGCAGGGGTGGTTATGAGTGGTGACCATCTGGCAGGTGAGACTCCCAAGACTGGGGTTGGAAATCCTGAGTGAATGAAGAGAACTCTGGCAAGAGCTCCTGAGGTGAAGAGGGAGTCTTAAGAAACCAGCTGGGTTCTCAGCAGGGTTCTAGGTGGGAGAGGCTGGTGTACTGCCGAGGCAGGGTAGCCTCAGGGCACAGGTGCAGGGTGCTGAGTGGGGGTATGGCACATGGCATGTGTCAGGCAGGAGGAAGTCTGAGATGAAGCTGGGAGGAAGGGCAGAGGCAGCTGAGAACCCTGAGTTTGGAGCTTCCCTTTAAGACAATGAAGGAGAGGTGAAAGAGTGGAGTTGGGGAAGGGCACTGGTAATGTGCAGCACGACTATCCCACTCACGCTGACCCGTGCTGCAGCCTGAGCACCTACCCCGCTGGTGCAGCCGTGCAAAGGGCTGGAAGTGCCGGGCATAGCTGAGGGCCTCCAGCTGCTTCTCAGAGCCACCTGCCAGAAGGCGGATGAAGTGTAGTCGGTGCAGCTTGAACTCCAGGGAGCTGTTGAGCTCCAGCAGGCGCTGCCTGTGGGAGATGGCCCATCTGGGGAGAAAGGGCCAGTTTAATGTGCAGCTGGCAGAACAGAACTGAGAGATGGACTCCAGAAGCCTCTGGGAGGTCCAGAAGACAAGGCTGGAGCCTGGAAGACAGAGCTGGAGGTGTGTCACATACTTTGGGTAAGGTGAAGACAAGCCCAGTGCCTTGAGCAGCAAAGGCAGCAGTGATTCTATGGGGCAAGCAGGGCCAACTTACTCCAACGCTGGCCCCAGGTCCTGCTCATGCAGAGCTTCCAGGATTCGATTCAGCTCCAGGAAAGGCTGCTTGAAATCCAAATCCACGTTGAGGGTGGACTCCTGTGGGAAGAGGCCGATCCCACCATTGGAGGACTGTTTCCAAAATTTTCTGCTCTGCACATAATAAAACCTCATTTGCCAACCATAGGCTGGGGGTGGGGGTTTGTGTGCAGAGGAGCTATGGTTTCTTGTTCCCATTTCAGTTCTGGGAAGCTGACTGCTACATGCTGGCCTCCCAAAGGTAGACCACAACTCAGCCCTACCCCCAGGGAACAGCCCACGTGGAGCAGCAAGTGATAACATTACTCCTTTTCAATCTTCCCAGTTACATGAAGAGAAAGTAGCTTTATTTCTTTTTTTTTTAAAGATTTATTTATTTGTGCATACAGCAGCTGGGGTACAGGCCAGAGATATGGGGGGGTGAGAGGATTCACCAGACAGGATTCACCAGACAGAGTGGGGAACAGAACAGGCAGACCGACTGAAATACACTGCGGAGGGGAGCAGCAGGTGAGACAGGAGAGGTCTGCCTCACCATGTGGGTTGCTCCCCGGCTGGCCGGGGATCGAGCTCGTGCTGCAGAGGCTGCGGATTGCTTCATAGTGCATTTACTCCCTTGCGCCACCCGGGAGGCCCCCAAAGTAGCTGTATTTGTACTGCCGGTAAGTTTTTAATACCTGACAAGTGCTACTGTCATTTCACTGATCTTTCTTTTTCTTTTTTTAAAAGATTTATTTATTTATTTATACAAGCACTGGGTTCAGTCAGAAGCGCGGGAGGGTGAGAGGATTCACCAGAGCCAAAGCAGGGAACAGAGCAGGCAGACTGACGAAATACACTGCTGAGGGGAGCAGCAGGCGGCAGGGAAGGTCTGCGCGCCATGTGGAACCCTTGCCGGCGGCCGGGGATTGAACCGGCACTGCTGAGGCTGCGGGCAGCTAGGCAGCCCAGCGCTCAACGGCTGCACCACCAAGAGAGGCCCATCATTGATCTTTCTTTTTAAGGAGAGGTAGCAAGTCTCAACTCAGAACCTTAGCTGACTAGAAATGAATAACTAGCTAGAAATTAATGACTTCACTTGTTATGGTATATATTTTTAGAGACACATTTTATTTATAGAAGGGGGTCTGACTTCCTTTCTAAAATATACTTGAAGAATAGCAGGGCTAGGAGGCTCAGGGCCCTGTAGGCTGTAGGAGCTGAGAGGCTGAGTCAGGACCCAGGATGTCGCAGCCTCTTAGAGCTGTTCAATCAGAAGATGGAGGAGGAAATGTTCCCAGGCCCAACAACCAGCCAGTGGCCTGACCTATCAGTGTAGCAGCAGCCCTGGGGATGTGAGGAGGAAGGGCAGCCCTAGCCCCATGTTCAGCTTCATGGGTATATGCAAAGGTGGGGATAAACTGGGCCCCAGGATGGGAATAGCAGCCAAGAAGCAGAAGACAGAGGAATTAACAAGGTGATACGTGTGGGCCTGCAATTCTGCAAAGTTTATAACTAGATGGCAAGTTCCCCTCCAAGGGCTTATGCACAAAAAGAAACAAGATACCCTCTGCAGCAGGGATGAGTCTCTAGCAATCTCTGACCTTCGACACTTGCCTTCTGAGACTTCACAGTGGTTTACTGTTCCCTGTCTTCCCACCTCCTCACTTGTTCTCTTTTCCTGTCTTCCTCTTCTTGCCCTCCCTTCCCCAGCCATCACTTCTGGGAGGTAAAGAACTTGATTTAGAGCCATGAAATGAGGTAAATATAACAGGGTTACACCTGAAGCCTATATAATATTGTAAACCATTTTTACGTCAATAAAATATTTTTAAAATAAGGACTAACAGGAACCTAAAATGAAAGCTATCAAGTGGAAAGCAGAGTGGGCAGACCTCCTCCCCACAGCACCCCTTACCTGGCACAGCTCCTCTGCCACGCTGAGCATGCCCTGCTGGTACAGGTGCTCCACAATGGCCATCTGCAGGATCTGCTGCTGCTTCTCCCGAGAGTCCCATACCGCGTCGGAGACCACACCACAAATCTCAGAGTCAAAGTTCTGATGAGGATGAGAGACAGGGTGCTGTAACTTGGTGCTCATGTCTCCCACAGCTCTCCTGAGGGATCCTGTACGTTAGCTCCAGGGGAGCCCCGCCCTCACTCTGGGACTGCCCACATGCATACCCTGTCAATGGCTTTGCCCACTCGGGAGACACTGCTGTGAATGTCCTTGTGGTCCGATGCCAGTTTCTGCACAGTGTCTTTGATCTTCCGACAGCACTGAGACATCACCAAGGAGAGGGTGGCTGAGAGAGGTGTCCCCTGGAGGGCTGCAGAAGAACACTGGCAATGAATCAGGCACAGAGAACAGACACAGACCTTGTCTCTGTTTCCTCATGCTAAATGCCAGCCTGAGCCCTGGGGAGCAGCCCTGCCCTCTGGAGTGAAAGACTCGGCTTCTGTTCCAGGTCCTGCCACATTTTATCTGCATGACTTGGAACTGGTCAAGTGGGGCAACTGGTTCATTTCCTAGTCTTTATCTTCTTACCTATAAAATGGGGGTGATAGCACTGGCCTGGTAGGTTACTGTGAAATGAAAACGATTTGCATTTACTGTGGATTAAGTATTTTATTTCAGCCCATTTAATCTTCACCACCATATTACACAGAGAGGACTGTTGGTACCCTATCCTTTAGCTGAGAAAGCTGAGACTGCAACTTGCCAGGTCACCCAGAAGTAACCAATGTAATGCCCATGGTCCCTACCACAACACCAGATGGCCCCTTACTATCTTGAGTGAGATACTATGTGTAACGAAGACCTTGAACCGGGCCTCCCTGTTGTTACAAGGGGTTAAATCTCAGCGCTATGAAGCTATAGGCAGCCACTGCCGTATGAGTTTGATCCCCAGCCAGGGAGTTGACCCTCATGGCACAACAGACCTCTCTTGTCTTGCCTGCTGCTCCCCTCAGCAATGCATTTCAGTCAATCTGCCTGTTCTGCTTCCCACTCTGTCTCTGGTGAATCTTCTCACTCTCCCATACCTCTGCCCTACAACCCAGCTCTTGTATGCATAAACAAATCTTAAAAAAAAAAAAAAAAAAAAACAAGCACTAATGCACACTAATGCCACTTATCAACCCAACAGACCCCACTGACAACTGTTAGCTCAACAAATTCCTATCTGAGAAGACAGTCTCCTGAAAACACAATGCATCCATAGTATCGATTAACCAAAGTCACAGAGTGTAAATGCATTTCAGATCAGCAAGAAAAAAAAAAAAAACCCAAAACTTTCTGCCGCATATAATTAACAGATACCTTCAAAAACAAGGAAACCTGGGCATTTATTACAGCATGGTACAAGCACAGCATAGAATGCTAAGCAACCAGGTGCAAGGTGAGGCAGAAGCTTATGGACTGATACGGAACATTCACCAAGACAAGACTGTGTATGGGAAAAGCAAGGTGCTAGAAAGTACATACTTTATGCTACCCTTCATGTTTAATAAAAAGAGGGGGCATAGATGCTTATACATACAAACTGTCTTGGAAGGGCACTTAAGAATGCCCTTCCATTTCAAGGATGACCTTGTGGAAAGGGCACACAGGAACTGGGAATCAGGGGTAAAAGGGATACTCGCTTTTGCTATAAAGTTTTTGACCTTAACCTTTAAATCTTTTCCATGTGCATGCATTCTTTAAAAAAATAAAAAGGTGGGGCCTCCCTGGTGGTGCAAGGGGTTAAGCACCGCACTATGAAGCAACCCGCAGCCTCTGCAGCACAACTTCGAAGCCTGGCAGGCCAGGGAGCAACCCACATGGCGAAGCAGACCTCTCTCACCTTGCCTGCTGCTCCCCTCAGCAGTGTATTTCAGTCGATCTGCCTGTTTTGTTCCCCACTCTGTATCTGGTGAATCCTCTCACTGCAACCCGCCCCCCGGCATCTCTGGCCTGTACCCCAGCTCATGTATGCATAAATAAATAAATCTTTAAAAAAAAAAATAAAAAGGTAACAACCACTATATAACTTTGTTTTTCTCAGTGATTCTAGGCATAGCAATTTTGAAAATATGTTCTAACTATAGCAGAAATTGAGCAGATAAGAAAATATACAGCAGATGTTGGGAGTAAGGTTTCTCACTGGTAGAGAAAAGAAAGAGAGGTGTACATGTGGAAAGTCTAGGAAGTACCTTGCCATCTAGAAATGGAATTGGTGGCATCAGTATTAATTCATGGTCTGCAATAGATGACAGATGATAGACAGACAGATGGATCATCTCCTAAAACATCCTAGAAACAATGACACTCCAGTAACAACCTAGATCATGATTTTTTAAAATATATATTTATTTATGCATGCATGCAATAGCTGGGGTACAGGCCAGAGATATGGCGGGGTAAGAGGATTCACGAGAGACAGAGAGGGGAGCAGAACAGGCAGACTGATTGAAATACACTGCTGAGAGGAGCAGCAGGAGAATCAGGAGAGGTCTGCTTCACCATGTGAGTTGCTTCCTGGCTGGCCGGGGATCAAACTCATGCTGCAGAGACTGCAGATTGCTTCAGAGTGCGGTGCTTAACCCCTTGTGCCACCAGGGAGGCCCCTTGATCATGATTTCCAAATATTATTGCCCACCAAAAGAACCAGGATTCCTAACAGAAATTACTGATTCCAGAGAATAGCTTACTTACTGAGCCAGAAAGTCAGTGCCAAAATAACAACAACAATAATAAAGATGGGCCATGTCAAAGGGACATAGGAACAAACAGTGCTAAGACAACTGAATGCAGTAGAATGAAATTGAACCTTACATGATGAAAGTTAATTCAAACAGATAAAAGACACCACTGTGAGAGCCAAAACTACAAAACTTCTAGAAAAAATAGAGGTATAAACCTTCATGGTCATAGATTAGGCAATGGTTTCTTAGATATGACAATGAAAGTTACAAGCAACCAAAAGAAAAAGATGGAATTCAATATTTAAAATTTCTACGCTTCAAAGGATACTATCAAGAAAATGAAAAGATGGGCCATAATAGATGTTTGCAAATGTTTATCTAATGAGGTTCTATTATCAACTATAAAAAGAACACAATTTTAAAAATGGACAAAGAGGGCCTGCCCTGGTGGCGCAGCGGTTGGGCACTGGGCTGCGAAGCTGCCTCTGCAGCGCCGGTTCGATCCCCAGCCGCCAGCGAGGGTCCCACATGGAGCGCAGACCTCTCCTGCCGCGCCCACTGCTCCCCTCAGTAGCGTATCTCGTCAGTCGGCCTGTACTGTTCCCTGCTCTGACTCTGGTGAATTCTCTCACCCTCCCGCGCTTCTGACTGTACCCAGTGCTTGTATAAATAAATAAATGATTCTTTAAAAAAAATAAATAAAAATGGATAAAGAATTTAAACAGGACCTTCCTGGTGGCGCAAGGGGTTACATCTCAGCACTATGAAGCTATCCGCAGCCACTGCAGCTCCAGTTCGATCCCCGGCCAGGGAGCTGACCCACACGGTGCAGGAGGCCTCTCCTGTCTTACCTGTTGCTCCCCTCAGCAGTATATTTCAGTAGATCCACCTGTTCTGCTCCCCACTCTATCTGTACTGAATCCTCTTTCTTACCCACCACACCTCTGGCCTAGACCCCAGTGCTTGTATGCATAAATAAATAAATCTTTAAAAAAAAGATTTATTTATTTATACAAGCACTGGGGTCTAGGCCAGAGGTGTGGGAGGGTGAGAGAATTCACTAGAAACAGAGCAGGGAGCAGAACAGGCAGAAGGACCGAAATACACTGCTGAGGGGAGCAGCGGGCAAGACAGGAAAGGTCTGCCATGCCATGTGTGGATCTCCCTGGCCAGCCGGGAATTGAACTGGCGCTGCAGAGGCTGTGGACAGCTTCACAGTACTGCGTTCAACCTGCTGCATCACTGGGGAGGCCCTAAAATAAATCTTCTTTAAAAAATGAATTTAAACAAAAAATTCTCCAACAAAGGTACATAAATGGCCAATAAGCACCTGAAAAGATGCTCAACATCATCAGTCACTGGGGAAATGCAAAGCAAAACCACCATTAAGATATCACTTTACAACAATTAGGATGGCTATAATAAAAGAAACAGAAAATAACAACAAGAGTTAGTGAGGATAGGGAAGCTCAAACCTTTTTACATCACTAGTGAAAACGAAAAATAGTGCAGCTGCTTTTCAAAACAGCCTGCCAGTTCCTCAAGAAGTTAAACAGGGCCTCCCTGGTGGCGCACGGGTTAAAGACAGTGCTGTCAGGCTGTTGCAGGCCATTGCAGCACGAGTTCTGATCCCCTGCCAGCCAGGGAGCAGTCCACATGGTGTAGCAGACCTCTCCTATCTTGCCCGCTGCTCCCCTCAGCAGGGTTTCAGTGGATCTGCCTGTTCTGCTCCCCACTCTGGTGGATTCTCTCGCCCCCCACACCTGTGGCTTACACCCCAGTTCTTGTATGCATAAATAAATAAATCTTTAAAAAAAAAAAGAATTAAAAAAGCTACCATAGGACCAGGCACTGAAAATAGAATGAAGGGCTGCCACATGCACCTGGAACACATGAAGCCAAGTGAGAGAAGCCAGACACAAAAGGCTGCATATTAGTGTGATTCCACTTACGTGGAGTGTCCAGAATGGGCAAATCCATCAAGAGAAAGTAAATCAGTTGTTCTTCATTATAAATGAATGCCAACTAACAAATGATATTTATTAGGAATGACAGAGCAGAAAAAAGAAATCACCCACATTGTAATCACTTTTAATTGATAATTGATTCATGCAAGAAATCATTAATTGAAGCTAAAACTAGTGGGCTAAAGTTTGATAACAGGCAGAACATTTATATGTTTCAAAGTATCTCCCCACAAATTACTTATTAACTCTAAAGAAATATTAACTTTACAATGAAGGAACTTGTCAGATACTATCTTAATCATGTGATCAAGTTACCAATAACAGAACAAGATGACCCCTACTACATTCTGATGTGATACAGTGAGATGCATCACTTCTGAAGTCTTCCTGTCCAAAATGCAAGACATGATGGGTGAGGAAGCAAAAGGTAAATTTACATTGAGAGATATCCTGTAAAATCAGCAGCTTTAATTAAACCTTAAAAGTCAGTCATGAAAGATCAAAGTAGGTGAAGGAAAGGTTGCAGATCAAGAGAAAAAAAAAATGAAAGATCCATTTGAGAAACTGAATTCAGTGCTTATCTTGGACTGGATCCTGGTCTGGAAAATAAATTGCAATGCTTTATGAAAACTATCAGACAGTGGCAAAATTGAAATATATGCTTTATTCATTAGATGACAGAATTGTATTAATGTTAATATCTAAATTTTAATAACATATCATACTTATGTAAAAGAATGTCTTTAGTCTTAGGAAAAAACTGAAGATTTAGGAGCAAGTGGGGTGTGAGACCTATAACTTAATTTCAAATGGTTAAAAAGCAGCAAGAGAGCCTCCCTGGTGGTGCAAGGGGTTAAGCACCGCACTATGAAGCAATCCGCAGCCTCTGCAGCACGAGTTCAATCCCCAGCCGACCAGAGAAAAACCCACATGGCAAAGCAGACCTCTCCTATCTTGCCCTCTGCCCCCCTTAGCAGTGTATTTCAGTCTGTCTGCCTGTTCTGTTCCCCATTCTGTCTTTGGTGAATCCTCTCACCTCCCTGCATCTCTGGCCTATAACCCAGCTCTTGTATGCATAAATAAATAAATCCTAAAAAAAAAAAAAAAAAAGGCAGTAAGAATAGGTAAGAGAATATACAAAACAGCTTTCTCTCTCCCTGACATCTTGGCAGCCGCTCTTGGTTGGGGGCCATCCCACACTTAAGGCAGGAAGGTGGTGGTCAAAAAGAAGATGAAAAGGTTGTAGAGTCAAACAACTCTAGTCTCCAACTTGTTATAAAAAGTGGAGAGTACATGTGCTGGGGTACAAGCAGATTCTGAAAATAAAAAGACAAGGCAAAGCAAAACTGGTCATCCTCACCAATAACAGCCCAGGCTTGAGGAAATCTGAAGTGGAATACTATGCCATGCTGGCCAAAACCCACATCCATCCCTCCAGTGGCAACAACAGTGAATGGGGCACAGCGTGTGGGAAATACTACAGTGTGCATCGTTGATGCAGGCCATCGCTGACGTAGGTGATGCTGACATCATTAGAAGCACTCCAGAACAAAAGTAAACATGCAAAATTTTTCTTTAATAAAACTGGCCAGAGTATGTTTAAAAAAAAAAAAAAAGTAAAGCTGATCTGGCAACATATTAGCATTTGGAGAATCCTGGTGCAGGTATACATGAATTCTTTAAATTAATCTTGGAACTTTTTGTAAGTTGAAATGATCTAAAAAAAAAGTCTGAAAAATACAAAACAGAAGATCAAATTGAGAAGAAAATGAAAATAATCTCAGGCAAATGATTTCTGTTGGGCTTTTTGAAATAGCTCAGAAGCTATCATTACCCCCCTTTGAGCAGACAGATGGATTCATGTGCCAACTTCCAAATTATTATTCTAGAACTCTGTCACTGAGTAGCCTCAGGTTCTCTGAGGCCCACAGGGATGTAGGTGTGGGGCTCTAGTGGGGGGACACCCACCTGCACTTGCCAGCTCAGCACGCAGCTGGCCCACATAGTGCAGCAGCTCCTCCAGGCTTTGCTCACAGTGCTGCCCATAGGTCAGGAACTTCTGCAGGACCTTGTCCACCTCTCTCTCCACACTGGCACACTGCTCCATGCTGGCCTCTGCCTGGGAGGAGAAGGGGGGAGACACGTTGTGTCAGGCCCCAGCTGGGCCAGGGAAGGGTTCCCGGATAGCCCTCACCATTTCCATCATCGATCAATGCTCAGAAATTCCTGGGCTTAGCAATCTGTGCTGAGCTCCCACCTCCCCAGGCAGGGTGTGCCGTGGAGGCCGTGAGGATGGGTTTTTCAATCATAGTGAGAAAATTACCTTGTTTTAACTATTTTCATTCTGTAATCCTTGTTCATCTCTCAGAAGAGAGAGCAGGCAGCACAGAGCCCCCAGGGGTAATAAAGCTGATCCTTGAGCAACATGGGTTCCAACTGCGTAAGTCCACTTACATAGATTTTATTATAAACAGCTCACATAAGCTTATAGTGTTGGTAAATCCAGCAGAGTGCTATAAATGTATTTTCTTATGATTTTCTTAATATCATTTTCTCTAGTTTATTGTAAGAATATAGCATACAATAATGTTAACAAGAAAATACATGCTAGTAATAAAAGAAAATAAAAACAAAAACATTGGGCCTCCCTGGTGGTGCAGGGGTTAAGTACAGCACTATCAAGCTATCATCAGCCACTGTGGCATAAGTTCAATCCCTAATCAGGGAGCTGACCCACATGGCACAGCAGACCTCTCCTATCTCGCAGACTGCTCTTCTTAGCAGTGTATTTCAGTCAATCTGCCTGTTCTGCTCTCCACTATCTCTGGTGAATCCTCTCACCCCCTCTTACCCGCTGTGGCCTACAACCCAGTTCTTGTATGCATAAATAAATAAATCTTTAAAAAAAAAGATATATAAGTATATTTTAAAAATACATGTGTGTGTATGTGTCAATCAACTGCTTATGTTATCAGTAAAGCTTCCAGTGAATGGCAGGCTATTAGTAGTTATGTTTTTAGGGAGTCAAAAGTTATACAAGGATTTTCAACTGTGTAGGAGTCTATGTTCCTAACCTTCAAGTTGTTCAAGAGTCAGGTATACTAACTAGAAACCCATCCATACCCTGTGTATATTCACTACAGCCACCTTTCTTGCAGTTAGTGGGAAGCAGTTTTCTTTTTTTTTAAGATTTACTTTTATGTATTTATGCATATAAGAACTGGGTTGCAGGCCAGAGATTTGGGGCATGAGAGGATTCACCAGAGAATGGGGAGTAGAACAGGCAGATTGACTGAAATACACTGCTGAGGGGAGCAGCAGGTGAGACAGGAGAGGTCTGCTGCACCATGTGTGTCAGCAACCTAGCCCGGGATGGAACTCAGGCTGCTGTGGTACTAGTGCTATGACTAGGGAGTCCTGGAAGTAGTTTTTTAGGTACTATTAAGAGAGGTGCCACAAATGTGGTATCTGAATGGGCAGTATTTGGGAAAGCAGCCCAAAGAACAACTGCCAATCACGTTGGTCTGACAGGCCTTTCCCCCTACTCCTCATGCACCCTGCCGCTCACCCACTGATGGGCAGTGGTGTCCAGTCACCCAGAACTCTTCTTCACAGCTCCATGCCCTGCTTCATGGTACACTTTCTCCTACTGTGCAATCCATTATCTCTCACCTCCTCCACTACTTGAGAAGATGGCTCATCCTTTCCAAGTTAACGCAGACGTCATCTCCTTCAGCAGCTGTCCCTGCCTGCTCCCACTTGGCTTCCTCAATTTCACTCTGCATTCCCCCCATTTCAGTTTGGATCACTGCACAGTGATCTGTTTGAGGGCTTGCCTCCCCCCAAGACTAAACCATCTCTTGTCCTAATAACCTTCCCTCCTCATTATAGCACTGACTTTTCTTGTCCCACCTTTGAGGAGTAGGAATTAAGTTTCTGCCACCCTGGGCCACTGCTCCCCTCTGCTACAGAGTAGACTTTGACACTGAACACCTGGACAAATCTGCAGAATTTTTGGTGACAGAGTTGTTTCCCTTCCAACCCCTCCAACTATAGCATTTGAAGTAAGAGGACCCTCTCAAACATTCATATCTAGTCAGTTGTCCACTCTCTCAAAGAAGGGTAACATCCCAGAATCACAGAGGGAACATGTATCCAAGGCGACCATCAACATTCTCCCAGACTCTTCCATTCTCATCAGGAATGGTCAGTCCTAGCCTCATCATCTGGGCCCAGCCTATAGCAGACTGGGAAGGTGACAGGGACATGTACCCTCTGTCCTCAGGGCTGATGCTATCACACTGGAATTTGTAATCATGGTATCCAGAAAACATGCCCCACCTTCATCGCCCCTGAACATATTCTATGACTGGATATGAGCCATTATGGGTGAAAAGTAATAGGGACTTGTTTCTGAAATACTGTTACTTGTTCTGAAATACTGTTAACTATTACTGCTATAATAGTCAACATTTCCTAGGTACTTATTCTGTGCAGGGCACTGTGTTCCAATGACTTTGCATGCATTAACTAATTTATTTAATTCTTATAAAAACACCATGAAGTAGGTGCAATTACTAGGCACAATTTACAGATGAGAAAATGAGACATAGATATATTAAATAATAAACTGTCCACAGTCATGCAGCTAGGAAGTAGAGAGCCGTCTGGCTCCAGGCTCCAGAGTCCTTCACATCCTAGCACTCTTCTGGAGAACTCTCCATAGTACTATTACGGAGTACTTAACAAGCTACTGGTTCACCAGGAAAGGAAAGCAGCAAGTATTTGTGGTTGGATGAGTGTACAGCAATGATTAGTGATGACAAGACACAGGAAACTCATCACAGAGCCTATGAGATGATCAACTAGAAAAGATGGCAGCACTAAGGAATGTATGCCAAGACAGTCTGCAAATCAGACAGTCTGCAAATACCAAAAATAAACACAGCTCAAGAAAGAGGGACCTGCCAAGGCAAAAAATCTGACCCTTTCAGATACCACATAATTATACTAGAGTTTTCAAAGGGAAGCTCAACGCAGCACCTGGAAATTGTACTAAAAAGCAGAGGAAAGAAATGAGTACCGTGGTTTTCATACCAGCACTGTGTGTTATGGCAGGGAGTAAGAGACACAGTCTACAGGGTCTTATCACTGCGAAGGAAATATGAGGGATGCATCAATGGAAGCCTTGATAGCATTTAGAAACCATGTTCTACATATACCCACAGCAACATCAACAAGATCCCAAAACATGATAGTGAGAGGGGAAAAGAAGCAAAATGAAGTCTCAGCAGAATCGATTTATGCAAATTAAAAATACAAGCAGGACCTCCCGGTGGCTCAAGGGTTTAAGCACTGCACTAGGAAGCGGTCTGCAGACTCTGCAGCACAAGTTCGATCCCCAGCCGGCCAGGGAGCAGCCCACATGGAGCAATGGACCTCTCCTGTCGCGCCAGCTGCTCCCCTCAGCAGTGTATTTCAGTCAGTCGACCTGTTCTGTTCCCCGCTCTGTCTCTGGTGAATCCTCTCATCTCCGCATCTCTGGCTAGTACCCCAGCTCTTGTATGCATAAATAAATAAATCTTTAAAAAAATATATAGGCAAACAACCAAGGACACACACAAATAAAAGGAGATACACCAAACACAGCAGAGGGTTTCAGAAGGATAGGGATGAAATGGAAAACATAAAACAATACCAAGGAGAAACGGTCCTGCATGGACTTATTAAACTGAAAATGAACTGAGAAGTGTAATTATTTTATTTTATTAAAGAATTTTTTTTTAAAGATTTACTTTTATTTATTTATACAAGCACTGGGTACAGTCAGAAGTGCGGGAGGGTGAGAGAATTACCAGAGCCAGAGCGGGGAGCAGAGCAGGCAGAAGGACCGAAGTACACTGCTGAGGGGAGCAGCGGGCGGCAGGAGAGGTCTGCGCGCTATGTGAGACCCTCCTCCGGTGGCCGGGGAGCAGCCGGGGATCGAACCAGCGCTGCAGAGGCTGCAGGCAGCTTTGCAACCCAGCGCTCAACTGCTGTGCCACCGGGGAGGCCCAGAAGTGTAATTATTTTAATAAAAATTTGAAAGTTAGTTGAACTGGGTAAACAGAACTGCTTGCATGTATTCCAGCCAAAAAGCCCAAAAGGTTAATTCAGTCTTTCCAAGGTGAGATCCAGCCTCAATCAGTTGGTCATCCTTGCCAGGTATAAGGATGAGTGAGGGTGTGAGTTTGTTTAACAAATTTCATGATTCTCATGTGAAATTATCCACCAAGGTGGTTGCTTCAAAACAACACATCAGATCCTGTTATCCCTTCGATAAACACTGTCAGGTTTGACACACAAGCCCATTGCAATTGTATAGTCGTTTCCTCTGCATAAGCTGTCCCTAAGTCCAGAGTACCTCGGCATTTCTCTGCACAGAAAATAAAAGATGCAGTTTAATTATCAGGTGCCCAGGAATTCCTCAAAGAAATCTCCTGCCTCCTTCTCTGCTTCACAAACCTCTGTCAAAGGTACCCAGACCACGCACAGTCTCAGCACTGGGGCATTGCTACTACCTGTTCACGATTCTAGCCTCTGATCTGCTCAGGGCTGGAGTCAGTCTTACCCTCTCCCCATTCTTTCTTCTGTCAGTGCCCAATCCAGGGCCTGGTTGGCAGTGGGTATTCAGGAAACATTTGCTGATTAAACAGCAGTACATTCCCTAGCCCTTGGGCTAGGGTGCTTGAGCTTGAGGAGTGGACAGGAAGAGACAGGAGTGAAAAATGAAAATCCCTCACCAAGACATGGATGGGGGTTTTGTCCCAGTCTTCAGCATCCTGAAACACAAGGGCCCCTTCTAGGTCAAGACAGGGAAAGGAAAGTTTGTGCTAATCATAAAAAAATCTCCGTTGCTTAAGATAGAACTGGAGAGCTTCCATTGATTCAGCTTACACTTTTGCACTCCCCACCTCTATTCACTCTCCATCCTCTCCATCACACCTCTGCTTAAAACCCAATTAGATCCCCACTATATTAACAACAAAATCCACCCTCTCTTTTAATGGCCTACCTGGCTCCATGAGTCAACTCCAAAGAGTTGACTCTCCCCTCCCTGGATACACTCCAACCACACTAGTCTTCTTTCTGTTCCAGTTTATTTCTACCTCAGGACCTTTGCAATGGATGTTCTCTTGTCTGGAACACTCTCCCCAGATCTGCCATGGCTAGCCCTTTATTAGGGTCCAATATAAATGTCATGTCTTCAGAGAAGCTCTTCTTCATCGCAGTATTTCATATGGTTCCCTCTGCCCCAGTCTCACACCAGTTATTCCATCACATCACCCAGTTCCTTTACGTCACTGCACAGATCTATGTGAAGTGCCCAATCTTTTGTCATTAACCAAAACTATGTCCATAATTTCCCCTTGGACAGCAGCCCCCTACTGGGAGTTTCGCCTGCAAATGACTGGCAAACTCCTACTGGTCCTTTAAAAGCTCAAATGCCCAGCCTGGCCCCTGCATGCCAGCAGATTACCTCGGAGCCGGCCGGGTCGCACTAGGATGGGCCGTCCGAGTTTGAGCGGCTCCCTGGCAGAGGCGGCTCCTCCAGGGTCGTATGCGTCTGTGAGACTCCAGCTCCGGGCCCCGAGACCGACGACGGAGGAGAAAACGAGCCCAAGGGCAGAATGGTGCGGGGGCTCAGCCGGGGTGCTTCGGAGAAGGCCCGGCCGAACTGTAAGTCCACCGCACCGCCCGGCCCGGAAGGCCTCCGGCTCCAGCCGGGACCCGCAGCCCTAGCCCTGACTTCCGGCGCCGCTGCCCTCGGAACCGGAAGAGGCGGCGGTTGCCCCGCAGCTCCGGACTCACCCATTCGCGGCTTCTCGAGGGGGAGGAACTTCGCGTCAGCCTGGCGTCCCTCTCGCGCGCGAGAGTGGAATCGCCCGCCGGGGCCGGGGAAGCCACGCCTCCCGCCGTCGGGGCTTAGCGTCCGGCTCTCTCTGACCCGGGTGGGCGGAAGGAAGCGGACGGGCGCTAGCTGGTCCTCCCGGCGCGCGGGCCCTGGCCAAGAGGGCCTGACCCACTCCCGCGGCCTCTGCCCCAGCGCGGGGCTCGGCGAGCCGAAGCGCTGAGCCGAGATATGGCTGTTCTCCCCGCTCCCCGCCCTCCGCCCTCGTGGAAAGACAGACGGTGCCCGCGCGGCCCGCCGGGGCTCCGTGACGCCCCCTCGATGCTCTTCTTGAAACAACAAATGATGTTTAAAAGTAAAACGCCTTTTTTCCCCTACACCAGCGTCGTGGTCCCCTCAGCCATCCTTAACCCGCCAGACACGTTTAACAGAAGAAGGTTCTCCCGGGAGGGAGGGTGGGAGTCGGAGGCCGGGAAGGACGGCGGCGTGACGGCTGCGCGGCCGTCCTGAGAAGAGGGGAGCAAGGCGCCAGACTGCATTCACGGTCAGCTCAGGCACGCCCCGCCCCACTCTCGCCCGGCTCTGCGGCGACGACGGCAAAGAAGACCCCCGGCTCCTCCGGAGGCCTCAGGGGTTAAGGCCAGAAACAGCTCTAGAGCAAGGGCTGCGTCCCTGTTGGCCAGACCCTGCTCCTTCCCTGAAGGTCTCATCCAGGGTATCCTCTCCTACAGCCCTACACACACACACACACACACACACACACACACACACACACCCAGGGTATCCTCTCCTACAGCCCTACACACACACACACACACACACACACACAGAGCAAAACAAAACAAAAACCTTGCACAACCTTCCTTTGTTTTCTCGATAGTGTTACTCTTGCACAATCCAATTTTGTTTTTCTCAAAGCATATGACTTGAAATTACCTTGTGTTTATTATGTCTTCCTGGACACCCCCTTTTTTTTTTTTTAAGAATAAAAGCTACAGGGGGTCCAAGACTTTGTACTCATCACTGCTGTATCTCCAACACCATGTGCTTGGGACACATTAGCTGCTCAGAAACACTGCGGCAGCCTGCATCCTCCGCCTGTGAATCAGGAAAGCGCGATTCAAAAAGCTTCGGAAACGCGCCGAGAAAGGGGGCGGTGCGGAGCCGCGCGGCAAGCCCCAGGGGGCGTCAGAGCATCCCCAGAAGGAAGTCTGCGCCCCCGGAACCTGGGTGGTCCCGGCCCACGCGGGTGCAGAGAGGAGAGAACACTGCCGGGGGGTGGAGGTAGAGGGACTGGCAGCCGGCTGAGGCCTCCCCGCCTCTGAGCCTACCGGACCTCACAGGATTTTCGCGAACGCCCCAGGCACCTCCACTTTCTCTCCCAGAGCTCTCGGTCAGTCAAGCTGAGTATAAGTAAAGCCTGGCTTCTTCTAGAACTTTGAATGTGTTTCTCACAGGCTCATCTTTGTCATTTCACCTGTGTCATTTTTTCCCCTGCGTGTACCCCTTCTTGCTCGCGGTTATGTTACTTGGCCTTGTACTTGCTTTGTTATAGAGTCGATTTTATCAGTCTTGGATATTGTTTTTTTTGGGGTGAGGGAGTTGCTTCAAAGCAGAAAAACTTAACTGTTCAGTGCATACTTAAAAGGGGTATGTGAAATGGCCCTTCACATTCTTTCACTAAGATGTAGTTTATTTTATACAACGTCATATCTTTACTTGCCACTTTGTAATATGCTCTAACACCACACGGTAAAAAAGAAACAAAAGTTTATTGAACAGATCAGGGTTAACTAGAGTGCAGGGCACAGGGTAATGGAGGGGGTAATGGAAATGTTCTGGATGCAAGCTCTAAAAAAAAGTGTACCCTAAAAAGGGTGATTTTTTTTTTTTTTTGGTATGCAATTTACACCTTAAATGGGTGGTGGGAACAGGTACACAAAGAGCACACTATATAAATCTTAAAAAAAAAACAAAAAATAAAAATTGCCCTGGAGTGCTCGTGAAAATTCAGCCTTTCTA